GGCTTTCTCCTTGTGAGTAACCTGGCTGACCTTCACTTCTCCTGCCTTTTCTCTGCCCTACATGTTCCTGGATCAGGTGCAGAAGGCAGTTCCTCTTCCTCCTCACTGAGTAGCTGCAGCTGCATGCTTTCCCACCTGAAGCTTCAGGGCTTTTCCTGCTGCAGCTGTGCTTCTGCCAAATCCCTCTCAGACAGCTCTTTGGAGCCACTGAGCAACTCCCCTCTTGATGTGCCAGGAACTGGTTCATCCTCCCCAGAGCTGATATCTGCAGAGATATCTGGGGAAACATCTGAGGGAATCTTCACACAATGACAGTGGAAAAAGTGACTGTTTTCCACACTTATGACTATTGTAGCATCCCCATGGTCACGTGATCCACATTGGCAACTGACTTATATCTATGACAGTTGTAGTGCCCTGGGCTCATGTGATGCACCCCTTCTATGATGCTCTGCTTAAAACCAGAGGCCTAACCATCCTTGACTCTTCGTCTTTAGTCCTTCCATTCTCAGAATAGTTGTTTGAAAACATAAAGCAAAGTTGGAATAGGATAATTATTTTAATATGCTTCTTAATCCAGCCTTTCTGCAGCCTCTCTTGATCTGCAATAATTCTTTAAAAATCCCTGACTTTAAATAATCAAGGGTCCTGCTTTCTCTAAAGGCTGTTCTGAATTTGCTTGTGGAGAAAAGGCTGGGAAATCCCTATTGAAATGTTAAGGGGGTTTGCTGGAGATTTTTTTTAAAAATCCCTATTGAGGGGGAGGGATTCATTTTCTCTAGTGCACATCCACGTACAATTTACTCTGGCAATGAATCTTCCAAATTTGGGGCAAGTGATAGACTATTTACTGGGCTGGTCCTGCTAATAGGAAGGAGAAAAGAAGATCTGGGTTGTGCAGCCTGTCTTGAGGCCCTTATAGGACAGATTCAGTCACTAATTTGGCTACCCGCTATACCTATATGCAATTTGCTAAGTCTATACTGCTGCCCCCAGTTCAGGACTGAGCCTGGTGCTGAAGCCGATGAAGAACACGAGACATGAGGTGCAGGTTTTGTTTCCTTTTATTAAAATGCTTCAGCAAAAGGGGTCCCAGCCAGCAAAATGCTGAGGCCCAGAACAAAGGATAAAGAAAGCTTTATACAATTTCTCTAAAGCGGAAGGCAGGACAAGGCAGGATATATAAGAAATATTATCTAATAAACATTTTAGTAATGATCTAATGATTTATATGGAGATTCTCAGTCATCCAGATCATGTTTGTCCCAAAGGTGCTTTTTTTTCCAAGAGGCAACTGGGCTTTTGGGTTTTTCTTTGAAGACATTTTGCTTCTCATCTAAGAAGCAGCTCTGGTGGGGAGTGGAAGGGTTTATACTCCTTGCAGACAGCTGGTCATTTGCATTCTTTTAAAGAGTTGTTGAGGCCACCTGGAGGCTTATCTATGTCATCAGGGTCACCTGAATAGTGCAAATGGGTGTGAAGCCTTCTTGGAACTGTTGAAAGGACGGTGCTTTCAACAGTTCCAAGAAGGCTCCATATTCATTTGCACTACACAGATGACCCTGATGGAACAGATATACCTCCAGTTGGCCTCAAGGACTTGTTAAAAGATTGCAAATGACCAACTGTCTGCAAGGAGTATAAACCCTTCCATTCCTCGCCAGAGCTGAAGAAGCTTCTTAGATGAAAAGTGAAACGTCTTCAAAGAAAAAACAGAAAGTTCAGTTGCCTCTAGAAAAAAAAGCCACTTTAGATCTAACAATTTGTTCTGTTGGTCTCTAGCCATCCCTATTCCTAAGCCTTGGCTAATGAATGCTGCAGGGGTTATCTAATACACATTCTATTTGCTCCAGGCCATCCCTATTTGTAACTTTCTAGCTGAGGTATCAGGATGTCTGATTCTTTGTTACTGTTAACCAACTAACTGCCTAGAATGCATACAGGTGTGACACGTGCATATTCTCTGTGAATAAACACGGCAGACTCCACAAAGGCAGGCTTCCCAGTTTTCTTTCAAGTGTATGCCATAGCCTAGCTTTGTTTTAGCAGACAGCCCTTCAATACTTCTGGCATAAAACACGTTGATTAGGTAACATCAAATGTGATGCAAAATTGAACATACAACAAATTGAAAGAAGCTGTGATTGACAGGGTAGCATTGGAGAGCACTCGCCTAAAAAGTCACCAAGAGTCAGACACGACTAAATGGCTAAAAACAGACAAATGATGACAGCAGATCACATGAGCCATTTGATAGGCTTCATCCTGCTCTGGGTTCCCCAGGCTCACTGGCAGAATCAGATCTTTGGCGCCTTCCAGAAGAGTGCCAGAGTGGGGGCCATTCCAATCTCTGGCGAAATGATGTTCCAGAGAGAGGGAATCACCACGGAGAAGGCCCTTCTTCTGGGTCCCACCAGGTGTATCTCCCTCAGGTTTTTTGTACATTAAACATTCCTATTTGAGGGCAATTTTGGTCAAAAAAAAAGTCAAGATGGCATCCAGAAGAATGTAATCAAAGGGGAAGGACTTTGATCACACAACCAAGGCTGCCATGTTGATTTTTTTTTGTTCTCCAGGATGTCCAGAAAGCTTTCAGCAGCTGTCAGATTGGGCATGATAATGCATTGGTGAACAAATTAGGATAAACAATGGGACTTCTGAGTCCTTCAACCTCATTCTGTTGTCTAAGTAAAATGATACCTATATGTATAGAGCACTGTTTCTCA